CTGAAGGAGGAGCTAGAAAAGATGTGGAAAGTAAGAGCAGCAGTGGTGCCAGTGGTAATTGGAGCACTGGGGGCTGTCACTCCCAAACTGGGAGAGTGGCTACAGCAGATCCCAGGTAAAAAATCAGAGGTCTCTGTCCAGAATTACAGCAGGGACAATTAGTTATTAACATCAGGGAAAGGTAGTTTAGATGCTCTTTCGACTTAATACATTAATTCAATTGTTTTTCAGTATTGTCATTTTTTATTTTTATTTAAATAGAGTTAATTGATTTTAAACATTTAATATGTCAAAAGCAAAGGGTCTAAAGGTCCACCTATAATCAGCCATTTTGTTTATTAGTCAGAAACCAAACATCGAATAAACAAAAACATACTAGCATTTTTTTTTTTGCCCTGCGATGTACTGGCTACCTGTCCAGGGTGTACCCCGCCTCTCATCCGTAGACAGATGGAGATAGACACCAGCACCTCTCGCGACCCCATTTGGGATAAGCATGACGGAAAATGGATGGATGGATGGATACTAGCATTTTGTTTTTTAGTTTATTGACCCAAAAGGAGAAAATGTGAATGGTGAAAAGATATTCTACAGGAAAACTTCATTTTATTCTGTGGAAATAAATGGCTTGAGCAAAAAATGTAACAACTGAAAAACTGAGAGGGTGCTCGCTGTGGGACTGAGGGAGCCTCTACACTACCCGACCAGCTTCATTTTCAACCACCCATTTCAGCCCCCTAACTATACTATGGATAGGGTACATTTTGCAAGCTAGATGTAAATGAATTGCTGCAAAATCAGGTTGAAATGGCTTACTTCCTGTTTCGGAAAACTGGCCATCAGCCTGATTAGACCCACATAGCTTGGATTTTCCATTTTGGACATTTGAACAACACGTGACGTATCCAGGAAAGAGAGAACTCCAGGGTCAGATTACCTCTCAAAAATATGCTAATTGAAACTGAGCCCTCTTGTTTTCATTTTCGTTTGGTGACAAAATAATAAATAAAAAGATGCAATTGGATAATGTTTATTATCCCTTTTCTGATTTTCGGCCAATAAACAAAAATAAAAGCCGGCCATTATGTTTAGTTTCAAGCAACAACAAAAAAAGCCATCATATGCACACACCCCTAAAGGGCAAACAGTGGTTCACAGAAGGACACACAAAAATGTAATAAAAAAAATATAAAGATATAAAAAATATATAAAATATGAAGCTCAAATAAAACTTGGACCAAACTGGACATATTTCTCTCAGAAAGAAGGTAAAGTTACTTCCTTGTGTTTTTGATTATTAAGGTTATTTGTTTCACTTGGAATACATGTTTGCAGTTGTAATCAGCAAAGGATGAACTCTTTTTAACCCTATCAGATAAGACCATTGTAAATCCATTCGAAACTAAGAAAAAGGGAAAATTTGAAAAATATGGAAGCAATGATACTCTTTAACTGAAATTGTTAGAAAGGTTTCCTACCTGGCAGCAAGAAAGAGAACACAGCTGACGGCGAGGTAGGCCAACAGCATGAAAAGCCAAACAGCAGGAGAAAACGGGTCCAGAAAAGAAAAGTAACCTGGTTTACGAGCCTGAAACAAAAACATAAAGATACACTCTTAGGATTGACAGCATCATTGAGCCCCCTTATATGTCATGTATGTAGTCTCCCAGAAGGTTAAAGCTGCCTGAATCTCACAAGGTCTTTTTTTGCAAGATTGTAGCAAGTATCCGTAATGGCCTGCAATCACCAAAAAAAAAAAAAAAAGTGTCAGGTACATCTCGAATAAAATAAAAAGCTTAATAGAAGTAAGAGTTAACAGAACAGTTACATGTTTACTTTAGAAAGATATAAAGGCAGAAACATGTTATGGAAGATGATCAATGACAGACCAAGTAATTTATACTAAAAGGAAATATTTATAGATGTTAATGCAAAAGAATGACTAGGCCCGAAGCACAGAGTATGAGAAATCTACATCCAGTGAGAATTGATAAGCCTATACTTGATACTGAGGGGCACCTAGATACTGACAAATAATGCAGTAGGGGAAAAATGAATACAGAGAAACTGAGGAAGGAAGACTAATTAATACAGCTGGGCTGAGATGTGCAGAGACTTCTAACTAAGGCGAAAAGATAGACACTGAAAGTAGAGAAATAAATCAAGATGAAAAGAACAGAACACATCGATACACTAATAAGGCAAGACCTTTTAAAACATAACAAAACAATTGAAAGGAAGAAAACACAAACAATAGAAACCCAAATCCTAACACCCAAATAGGGATGATCATATCTTTACGATTTCTGCTCTAGCTTGGTAGCATCTTACATCATATTCCTTATCTGATGACATCACATGAACGTAATAGCACAGTGAGATAATATGCGTGCCAAAGATTATCTGAAAAACAGAGCATTAACACAATGAGACGTACTGATGAATTGGAAGCAGCAGTAAACATTAGTTCAGGCTGTTCAGCACAGGGGGCAAGAGCGCTGATATACACGAGATGTCTTCACTAATGTGTATGTGTCAGTCAACAGCTTAGGCAATTAAATAGATTAAAATCTTTTAATGTGCTTGTAAGCTTTGTAGACACATGCAGCATGATGTGTGTTTATTATGTATACAAAGCAGATTATGTGCTGCCAGACATAAATGTATTGTATTGGTAATTACATTACTGTAAGATCACCAAGTAGGCCTAAGATTAAATTGTGTTTTATTTTTTTTAATTTGTCGGACTTTTACCTAAATCCTACATCGAATGCAGTATTTAAAGTTTATTATTTGAATTCCGCACATAAAAAACAAACTAATTTATTTAATGTCTCTGTTGTTCCGTTTAAATTATGTTTATTGCCAAGAAAACATAGATAATACAGTAGGACAAAAAAAAGCTGCATACTCCTAACATGAAAATAAGGAAAGGTTAGTAGTATGAGTTAGGATAGTCATGGGGATCACAGCTTATTTCAATTAACCCTGTTGAACTTAAACTTGTTAAACTTTGATGTATAGCTGTTATTTTGATTTGATCAAATTCCTCTTGGATTATTACTTTTGTGTAAAAATAGTCAATCTGTCCTCAAACAGTTTTACAATTTCTTTAAGTTTAAATAATACTGCTCATCCCGGTGGGAATACAACATTAATGAGACACGTGTAAACCTGCAGAATTTCTTTTTTCAAACCAGGCACTAGATCAGTCACCAAACTGCACTGGCAGTGCAGGAGAATGCAAGCGGGATACAAGTAGGACAGCTGTGGGACACTCAAAATCCACTCAGAGCTTAAAGACTCCAAGATGCTTGGCAGTTATCTAAAATCTCCAAAATCTGTTTGCATCTCACATTCTCTGGCATTGATGTCGACAGAAAAAAAGCACAATTCTGATACCAGTCCAATGGTGATTCCCTTCCTCAGGGTAAGCTTTTCAGGTTAAGATTTCTCAGGCTTATCTCTGCGATGTAAAATAAAGCCTTTAATGTCTCTGCAGAGCTTTAACTGCATGAAGTCTCCTAAATGCTATCAGCAGGTGGCAGTTAAGCCAGCATAAGTCCTAAATTGTGGGTAATATTAGCCTTATTGGCAAGATACAAAAATCTGAATTAAAATGTGTATTACTTAAGTTGAAATATAAATCGTACTGTTCAAAAACAATTTTGTAGAAGTTAGGGTATCAACTTCAGCTTTGTACTCAAGTAAAAGTGTAAAGGTACCATTTTTAAAACTACTGAAAGTATAAAAGTAAAAGTAATGCAAGAAAAAATATTAAGGATAGATGCTTTAATGCACTACCCTGTTAAAGAGGCATTTTTATACAATTCTGGATAGTAATTTTCTTATACTTAATTTTCTTAGTTTTATTATGGAGCACCAACTCCAATAATAATAATAATAGACTAATAATATAGAAATAAATAAATGCTCAATAAATATATAAGCATAAATGCCAACAAAAATAAAATAAAAAAATAAATGTAACTAGAAATTAAATAATACAGTGAGACATAAATGTATATAACTCTTTTAATTAGCTTCTTTATTTATTTGCCTTTGTAATATATACCTTATTTATTTTTTTGTCCTTTATAATCTTCAACTTTATTTTTTAATTACTTATATTTTTAAGTATTTATTTATGTGCATGTTATAATATTTTTGTCTGTTTTATTCTTCCTTTGTATTTTTTTACCTTAGTTATTTCTTCACAGCTGTTTATTTCTATCTGCTCTTTTTACATTTCTGCCTGTCGTATTTACATTTCTGTATGCATTTCTGTCTCATTATGCAAATGGGGGGGGGGTGTCCTAGAGTGTCAACTTCTGCTCATTGGTTGGCGGCCCATTTTTTTCACTCACAGAGCTCAGAGTATTAAGTTAAATGTTCTCTTGTCTGTTGCTGTTGTTCAATAAAAGTACGTTTTAAGATCATTTGAGGCGAAAACATTATACTTTTAAGCATCGCCATATGGGCCATTCACAAATTTATTGCGTAATTTAAAAGAAAATGTTCCGAACTTCAGAGGACCGCGGCAACCAGCGGAGCTCTGAAGCTAACGGCAGCCAGGTCTAACCGCAGCCCGTCTGCAGCGGCCCTCTCTCGGCATAGCCGTGTGTGACCGCTGGCTTTGATGGCGATTTTTTGTTGTATTTGGCAAAGTTTGGCAAAGTCCCTACTCGCAATCTATTGACTTCAGACTCGACAACAGACTCTCCTCCTGTAGATTCGACCGATGTAGTAAAATGCTAACCAACACGCTTCACACACAGCTATGACCAGAGAGGGCTGCTGTCTTACTGTCTTTGTGTGGACTTTCCATTGTCTTCTTGCAGAACTGTTGCACTCAAATCTATGCCCTCACCCTGAGCCTCTTACCTCTAAACCTAACTAAAACGCAGTTCACACCTTAAACCTTTCCTCATTCCTAGAAATACCTCTGAATCTCCAAAATGTAGCTTATTTCTGGGAAATTGCTCCCACTAAGATAAATAAATGGCCACACACAAAAATTAACCTAAAATCTTAAAACTGTAACTTTAATAAAGATGTTTTTTTGTTTTTTATCTCAGCATGTTTTTTGTGTTGTAACTGTAACTGCAAAGCAGAAGGCATAATCATCTGCAAGCATGTCAACATACTGTATTTAGTAAGTCAGAATTGAAAATGGCAAAAAAATAATCTTCTACATACGTAAAACTTCCACTGAAAAGATTATAAAATAAACCTTCATGGAAAAAGGTTTAAAAGGCTTATGGTTGCTTTTACCTTGTGATCCGCTAGCAGATAAAACCATCCAATATGTGTGTGTGCCAGCATCAAGATGCACTGTCTCCTAACCCATACAGAGCTGTGCACTTAGGAGCAGCAGCTTGGTGTTTAACAAAGTGAATTTATCGTGCCTCGGTTCAAATCCTCCAGCTCAGGCTCTACCTTGAGGCAGGAGTTCTCATACTGATTGAGACGATGGATCTCTCACAGCACATCACTGCAAGAGCATAAATTGCTGCTGCAGGCCGTTACTGTGAGTAAAAACGTGCTCTCGGTCAGCTTAATCTCTAAATAAACACTTAAGAAAATGCAGCTGGGACACTGCTGTGTGAGCAGGGCTTTGCTGTACACACATTAAGCAGCTGACTGATCACTGAGTCAATAAACTGATGCTGTCGCTGTGGACTGGATCAAACATGGTGGACAGATGGTTGAGGTGCATACTAATGAGCTGCAGATGTACATTATCTGCTGACAGGGAGCATGCCACCATCATGATCCTTCCCTCAAGGAGATGGGAGTCAATCTTTCAAAGATAATAGTAAATAAAAGAACTGCTTTCATTATTAATTGTTGCTAGATACGACTTGGCCCCCTGATTTCCATTTGGTTTAGTTTCCCTGGATTAAAAGCTGCAGCAATTCTGAAGGTACACAACATGCCTTATGTTTCCTCACAGTTCCAATCTTCTAATGTTTCATTTCAAATGTTAAATACTAAAATAATGTATATTTATTAGCAATTTTTTTTATAGGAACTTTTTATCTTTATTTTACCTTTATTCAGCGGACTAATAGTGCTCAAAACATAAACCCTCAAGACAGCACACACACTATTTTCATGCCAGTGTTCCCAAAGAGACGAGGTAGGATATGACACTGGATGTGAAGACAGACAATTAGCCCCAGATAACGATGCACTGCCTTTGAATATATCCATTATATATCCATCGCTCTGTGAGACCATTCTTTGTGTAACCTACTTTACAATTTCCTGTTATGTTTTTTGCACCTTTTTCAAAATTGCCTTTTAGTCTGTGCAGATTACATTGTTAACTTTAAAAAAAAATGTTTTCATGAAATCCGCACCCTCTGCAAGGAAGCTGGAACTAAGAGACTTCACTAGCTCCTGCAGTTCCATCTCTATCTCCTCATATAAACCTAGTCTGTGGTTTCTTAAAGTTTTTTCTTTACACATTTGAATGAAATCATATCAAAACACAAAAACATGCAAAAACAGACAAAGTAAATATGTTTATTAAAGACTCTCAAGGGTTATTTCATAAATGTTGGGCATTTTGGGTGAAAGCTT